GGAAATAACTGCCCTATCTTGGAAAATCTATGTTGATTGCATTGAGAGTTGAATATAAGTGTCACGACCCATTTCCATGGGCCGGACGGCGGCACTAGGGCCCAGGTAAGCTTAAGGCCCCCGAGGGCCCGTTAATAAGCCTGAAACAGAACTACAAATTTGCTATCATCATATAAATTTTAAACATTTACAAAATTTACTTATTTAATAACAGGCTCAAAGAAATTATTCCCATCTATAATAATACACAACGTTAAGTAATACAAATTCTATAACTGCGGAGTTTCATTGACGGATGTATAATTATAAAGTCTTCGGACACTTTTTATCTAATTTAATTGATCAATACGAAAATATAGCGAAATTTCCTTTCTGTTTTTTTATAGGGTGAAGAGCAGAGTTATAGCTGAGATTTAGAAAATGCTACTTTTGAAAAGATTTATACAAAAGAGATGTGAGTTTTGATTTATTTAATAATTATTCGCATCAACACAAGCATTCACACCAATTGTATAAATATTATGCACCTAGTTCATCCACCTTAGGTATATGCCTCACACAGCCAGTCACACAAGATGGGCATAACTCAGCCAGCACTCACAATTATTAACATCTTCATATAAGTCACATCACGTGGAAATTAGTCAGTGGGAGTCACGAGACCCCGATGAGCCGTCCTCGGCCGCCGCATGGCTCATCCTCTGTCACAGATGCTTGCACAGGGAGCCGATCCGCCATACTGGGCCGAACCGTCTAATCCTCACTTGACCCAGCCCTCTTCTTTTTCTGTTTCTCATTGTCTCTCATTTTCTTTTCCATACCAACAGGAGGCAACCCGGTCGTTCTCCAATGAAATCTAGATATCAAGGCGCTCACAACAGGAGGCCACCCTGCGGGCTGCGATTCAAATCTGGATTTCGCGGTGCGCCCATAAAGAAGCCAACCTGTGGGGTTATACAGTACGGTAACAGTGTGCATCACGGGGCGCCGATCTCACCATTTTACCCGGCTAACAGAAACAGAATCAGGATCCCTATAACAGAAAATCAGGAATCAGGATCCGTATAACAGAAACAGTCCTCACACCCATGGTGGGACCAGCTTCATCCCCCAATCCACCAAAGCAAAGGCCAGCACATATCACACAACAACAATAAATCACACATTGCATTCAAATGCAGACATTTATTCCAATTAGACATCGTAATGGCAATGCAGCATTAAACATCCAAAATCAATGCAAAATAAATAAATAAATAAATAGTATTAGCAATTTAAACAAACAATGAATAAAGATAAATAAATGAATATGTGAAAATAGTTAAATGAATAATAAAGATTTATAAACAACCCAGAGCACTAATATTTTATTAATGTACGCAATTTATAGAACTAATCTAAAATAAACTTTATTAATTATGTTGTTAATTAAAATTTAGTCTAATTTCTATCAAAAATTTCGGTCAGCATCCTCCCCTAAAAATAGGACTATCTATCCTGTTTATATCACAATGAATATTATATATTAATCAATGCAAATTTGCACTGATCGCCATCCGTCGGGCGATCAAACAGTTTAAATTTCCGCTTCTCCTCCATCCAAATAATAATGTCAACATTCAACTATTTAATTCACAACTTTATAAATAACCTTCAACATAATCCAATAATATTATTGAACATTCTTTGCTTCACATAATTATTAATCAGCTTCTTTACTATTGACAAATAAATGAAATCTTTCATACACATATACAGATAAATAAACAGAAAGTTATCCATTAAGTTAGTTGCTTCTAACTATTATAAAACTCCTTATTAAACCTTTATTTCATCATCCTTGCCTTAAGGTATAAACCAACGTCTTTAAACAATTTACTAAAATTCTAAACTAGCCCATAAGAACCAATGCTTCAATTAAATTTCAATTTCATAATACTTCTACTAGGCAACCCCGACTCAACCAACTTGAAACGTATAACTAAGGCTTTCCTAAAAATTCCTTCATCATTGCCATGAAAATTAACGATTTCTAGAATTATAGTAGATTAATGTTTACCATCGAATCGTTACCTAACAAGATTGGAAGCTATTGAGCATTAACCAATGGTATCCATCACAAAAATATTGAGAAAATATATCCATTCCTATGTTAATTCATATAAAAATGGCAACGATTACACGCTTCAATAGCTATTCCCCACCAAATGCCCATAAGGGTTCTCCCTTAAACTTAGACTTATTACATAATTGCCACAAATTTCACACAAATTTCACTCATTTCCCATCAAAACTTAGATTCTTAACATCCTATAATCCATATCAAGCAATGGTTTATAGAAATAATGAGAAATAGCTGCTGCCATTTTAAAATTGCTCTAATTTATTATATAGAATATGCAGCAAATACATTAGCCTACACATACTTTTAAAAATTTCAGTCTGCAGCTCATTTGGAATGATAAAAGTTTAAGATTTCCTTCCTATCATAGTGAAAACTCAAGCAAATAACCATTAAACTGCTGCCATCTTTAAAGGCTTATCAATTCCTCTAACAAATTGTGTAATTGGAATATGTGTGCACTGCTATTAGATCATGAAAGAGGGGCACCATTTCAACATCTGCACTTGTTTATGGGTATTCTTTTTTAATTTTAAATTTTAAACTGTGTAATTGGAATATGTGTGCACTGCTATTTTGTAATAAGAATAGTTTAAACATTAAAGCGGTGAAGCCTAATTTCTAAATATACGTTAATCTACAGATCAATATCAATTGATATCAGATGGTAAAACTGATTGTATATTCATACTCTACACGAAAAATGCAACATTCTGCCTCTGGGGAACTCCGGTCACCGGAGACACCACTGTCGCCGCCGTCTACGGTGGCCGGAGGTATCATGGTTCCTGAATATTGCAACTCTTACGCCAAGACATAGCAAATTTCATATAGAACTCAGTTCTATAGCCAACTACTACAAATTATGTCAATATTTAACGAAATCCCAGTTTTTATTCTTAAATCCCTAGTTCCCATTTTGATCAATTCTTCAATAAATCGCCTAATCTTTACAAAATACTTTCTAAAGGAGTGAATTGGGAGGACAAGCAGCTTACCTTGTCGGAGATAGTCGTCGGAGTTGCTCGGAGGGAAGGACGGAGACGCTATCTCGATCGGGCTAAAGTCCCAGCCTCGCCGTGATTTTTGCGCTCACCAGAAGCGGAAACGGGGAGAAGGGAAAGGAAGGCCGGGTTGCTGCGGCAAGGAGTCGACGGCGAGGAGGCGCTGGTCTCAGGCGGATGGAAAAACGAGAGAGGAGAGGGGAGGGGTGAGGTCGACGCCGCTGGAAGAAGAAGAAAAGAAAAAAAAGAAAAGAAAAGAAAGGAGAATTCTAAAGCTTCTAGACCATTCCGGTTCGATTCGAGTTCTCATTCTATAGTTTTTCTAAATCAAATACTGTAAAATTTTATAATTATTATTATATTTTGTTTGGTCTAATTCTATGAATTTGGCTCATTTTGCCCTTGGGTTTCACGTAGTTTTTCGCTTGGTTTTTTGAAAAATCGAATTGGGGGTTACGGGTCCAGTTTAGGCATAATAAAATACTAGCTGGTAAATTTCATTGGTTGAAATAAAAAAATTTAGTTTTTAAATGAAAATTCTTCGAAATTTAATTTTCGGGTCGTTTCAGATATATTTACAAAAATTAATTTTTAAAAATTAAATATATATAGATAATTAAGCATTTTAAAAATTTTTATATTTTTATTTTTAAATATTTAAATTATTATTTTTGAATTATAATTTAAAATATTTTTAATTCTGGGGAAGAATAATAAAAAAAAAGAAATTTATATGTATATGCTTTTTATTAATATTTTTTCCTTTATATTTGTAATATTGATTGGATATATTTTAAAAAATAAGTTTTTCGAATAAGAATAATACATTAATATTTTTTTATTTATGAGAAGATAAAAAAAAAGAAAAAAAAATATATTTAAATTTTTATTAATATTTTTTCTTTATATTTGTAATAATTTGATTTGGGTATACTCTTTTTAAAAAAATTTAAATAAACGACATAATTTAAATAATTTCAAAATTTTTTTAAAATTGCAATCTTATTAGTTGATTGGGATATTTTTAATAAAACTTATTTTTTAAATAAATACGTAGAGATAACTAAGCCATTTGAAAAATTTTATAATTTGTTATTTTTTTTAAAAATTTAATTTTTAAATAAATAATATATGATAAAAGGACATTTTAAATTTTTTTATATTTTATTTTTAAATATTTTATTCTATTTTGATTATAATTTAAAATATTTTATTTCAGAGAGAAATAAAAAATATTTTTATATATTTGTATGATTTGATTGGATATATTTTTTTAAAATAAATTTTCAAATAAAATATATATAAGCATTTCAAAAAATTTTAAAAGGACAATAAAAATATTATTTTCTTTTCAATTAAATGTTACGTTGCAAGCATGTAGTAAAAAAATATGCGTTGTGTGTATAAATTGCAATATAAAGTAATCACTATTGAGAATTTATACTTTAATATTTTATTAATAAAAAAGTTGAATGAGTATAAAGAACAGATATATCACGAGCAAAATCAACGTACAATGCACATTATAAAATGACTAAAAGACTAGTATATTGTCACGACCCATTTCCATAGGCCGGACCGGCACTAGGGCCCAGGTAAGCTTAAGGCCCCCGAGGCCCGTAGTAAGCCTGAACACTACAAATTTGCTATCTCAATAAAATCAAATTTTGCTTCTCAATAAAATTTTTTAAACATACAAATTTCCCTGCTTACAATACACTATAGTTATAATACAGGCTCACAGAATTATTCCAATCCTACAATAATACACAACTTAAAAAGTATACAAGTTCTATAACTGCGGAGTTTTAACTGACGGATGTATAATATAAGTCTTACGGACAATTATCTATTTAATTGATCAATACTAAAATTAGTGAATTTCTTTTTTAACGGTGAAGAGCAGAGTTATAGCTGGGATTTAGAAAATGCTACTTCCTGAAAGATTTGAACAAAAGAGATGTGAGAGTTTATTAATGAATCATAATTATTGCACAACACACGCATTCACACAATTGTATAAATATATCAACCTAGTCATCCGACTAAGTATATGCTCACACAGTCAGTCACACAAATGGCATATCACCAGCACTCACAATTATTAACATCTTCATATAATCACATCACGTGGAAATTAATCAGTGATCACGTGGAAATTATCAATGGGTTTTTTGGAGTCACTCGAACCCCGATGAGCCGTCCTCCGGCCACATGGCTCAGTCCTCTTCAACAATGTGCACCAAGGGAGCCGATCCCCCATACTGGCCGACCGGTCTAATCCTCACTTGACCAGCCCTCTCATTTATTTTTCCATTTCTCTCTTTTTCTTTTCCAATACGCAACAGGAGGAAACCCCGCCGGTCATCTCCATCAAATCTAGATCATCAAGGCGCTCACACAGGAGGGCCACTCCCTGCGGGCTGCGATCAAATCTAGATTTATCCGGTGCGCGCCATAAAGAAGCCAACCTGTGGTTAACAGTAACGGTAAACGGTAGGTGCCACACGGGGCGCGATCCTCCCATTTACCCGGCTAACAGAAACACGTAATCAGATCCATATAACAAGAATCAGATATAAACAGATAATCAGAATCAAGGATCCGTAATAGACAGAAACCAGTCTCCAAACCCATTGGTGACCCACTTCAATCCCAAATTCCACACAAACAAAGCAAGGCAATTGTCACATCAACAAACTAATCAAGCATTTTCAATTAAGTGCAGAATATTTCTAAAGTTAAAACATCGAAATGCAAATGCACAATTCAAGAAATTCATACTCAAATGCAATTTAAATAAATAATATTAACAATAAACAACAATGATAGAATAATAATATAATGGGAATAAACAATACAATGAAAATAAAATAAGTAAATTGAATATATTTAGTAAATAGTGAATGATAGTAATAAATAATTAAGAAATAATTTTATTTACTATGTTATTAAGTTATAGAATTAATTCTAAATAAACTTATTTACTTTATATTGTTAGCTAAAATAGTCCTAAGTTCTATCGAAATTTTCGGCAAAAGCAGCCTCCCCTAAAAATTGGGCTTATTTACCTATTCAAATATCAAATATAATAACTTAACAATCAATCAATCACACAACCCATCCATCGGGCGATCACCAAATTTTAACACCCGTCCCCTTAAATAGCAATGTCAACACTACCATTAAAATTTACAATTTATAAGTAACTTTAAACCTGGTTCCAGATAATATTATCAACCATTCTTTCTTAAGATGTCAACAAACGTCCTTAAACATTTATTAAATTCTAAACTAAGGCTATTAAGAACGATGGTTCAATTAAATTTACAATTTAATAAAAGGGCTCTTCTAAGTAACCCAATTAACCAAACCTTAACTATATATCAATTAAAGCTTCATGAATCTTTCTCATCTTTCACATAAAAATTCCCTTTCTTCCTAGATATAACCAATACTAATCATATAAAAACATTGAATATCATGTACGGTCCATTAATTACATTTTAGTTTATATATAAAATGGTATCAAAATTAATCTGCAATAGCTACTGCCCATCACTAGGTTCTCCCTTGCTTAAACTTATATACTATGCTTACCGCACTAAGAATTTAATTCACGACTTCATTTGGTTTATAGTTCAACAATAGCTCAACCAATTAACAATATTGGTTGCTGCCACCCTCACGCCATACTTATTTCTAAACTAAAATCTCCTTATTCATGCTTACCCATTAAATTAGCTATTAATTCAGACTAAATTAAAAAAAAACCAAATTCCCTCAAAGAATGCATAAACAATAAAAGCTAGGGTCTAAATTTTCCGCAATAGCTTAATTTATGCTTCAAATCTTTCATTTTTAAATCAAAATTTCCTCAATGGTCTAGCAAATATAGTATATATATCCTATTTAACTTATCATATATCCTATTTAACTTATCCAAAACTTAGACTGTAGCTACCATTAATAAATTAATCAACATTTCCTTAAGTTAATTTGCATAACAGTAGGCTAAGAATTTCCATTTCTATATCAACTCCCTGATCATGATAAAAAATTCATGAAATGTATTGAAAAGGGTTGAAATTAAATTTACCTGGCTACAAAATGCCATCGGAAGTTTGAAATAATTTTCCGGTTTAAGTCATCGTGGTAACCCAAATCCCAAAATCCATGCTCTGCCGGCGTTATCTTTGATCGGAACTGAACGAAAACAGTGGGCGGGAAGCTGTTAGCCGACAATGAAGGGTCCTAATCGGCCGGTCTTTAGTTGTCCCTTTGCCGGAGAAGCAGAGGGTTAGCGCTGAAGGAGTCGCCAATCGAAGTGAAATCGCACGCTCCACTCTTTACTGTGCTCGCCGGAAAGAGAGGAGAGAAGAATGAACGGCGAAGGGAAGGAGCAAAGGAGCTCAGGTCCGGCGTGACCACACTCAGGTGGCCGGAATCGCAGGTGGAGCTCGAATTCGCGGATTACACAGCCTCCTGCTTCTCTTTTGACTTGCGCTGAAATCGAAAACACGGAAGAGGGAGAAAGGGAGAGATACCGGAGACGCTGCGGTGAGGAGGCCGGCAGGGGCAAGGAGGCATGGTGAGGCGGAATCGGCAACTGGTCTCATGGCGGTCGGAAAAACGAAAGGAGGAGAAGAGGAGGGTGGGTCGCGCTGCTCTCCCCCCGGAAGAAAAAAAAAAAAAAAAAAAAGAAGGAGAATTCTAAAGCTTCTAGACCATTTCGGTTCGATTCGAACCAGTTTTATTGGTCTAATTTCTATGATGCTCAATTGCTTGATTTTCGAGTTTTTCCTTAGGTTATCGAAAAATCAAATTGATGTTATGGGTCCCAGTTTTAAGCAATAATAGAAATAACTAGCTGGTATAATCCTCATTAGTTTTGAAATAATTTCGAGTTTTTCGCTTGGTTTTCGAAAAATCAAATTGATTTATGGGTCCAGTTTAGCAATAATAAAATACTAGCTGGTATAATCTCATTAGTTGAAATAAAAAAATTAGTTTTTAAATGAAAATTCTACGAAATTAAATTTTCGGGTCGTTTCATATATATAAAAGATGATTTCACCAAACCTAAATTTTCAAAATTTAAGGAAGTAAAAAATTGAAGTTCACTATTTTATAAATAAAATTGAAAACTTTTAATATTTCAACTCATTGTTTGGAACAAATGAATTCCACAAAATTTCATGGAATTCATTTAGAAATCCATATTTTGTATTTGGAATTAAAAAAAGTGTGTATTTCAATTCTAGGAATTCAATTCTATGAAATTGAACATAACTACACCAAATTCCATAAAAATATGTGAAAATTTTAAATTATTTCACAAAACTAAGTAATCAAATTTTTTATGACAAAACTACCATTCTCCTTCTACAAAGTCAAATTTTCAATTTTCTACTTATTTAACTTATTTATTTTATCGAACTTGACCAAAAACCATTTAAAAGTTTTATTTTTTAGAAAAATATTTTCTTATTATTGTATTTTTATTTTAATATTTTTTTAGCATTTTTTTAACTAATGAGGAGAGAAATTCAAATTTAATATACATTCAATGAAATGTAATACTTTTATTAATATTATTTTTATTTTATATATTCATTTTAATAAAAATATAAAAAATATATAACCATAACATAAATATAATTGGTATTTATTATTTATTTTTGTATTTCAATGATATTTTAGAAAATAAAATTAAATGAATTTTTAATTATGAATTTATTCCATACATGATTATATGGATTTCAAATGAATTATATGTTTTAAATTAATCATACTAAACATGAAAATTCATTCACAGATAAATTCTACTAGAATTTATTTATAAATGAATTTCATATTTTGAATTCATTTATATCAACATAGCATAAGGGATCAATTTTTTTAATTTTTAATATTTGCTTGAGTTCAAATACAAATATACAAGCAAGTATTTTTTTTCCCTTGTTCTATAAATTATAAACAAGTCAAGCATAAAAAAAATAATATAAAAATTGTGAAATTATAGCAAATTAAAAACACTTAAACATATAAATAGCATAGTTTAAATATAAAATAATTATCTTTAGACCCATGAGTTGGAGCTATCCATGATAATTTGACTTGAACAATTTACTAATAATATTAAAAGGAAAAAGACTCACTATATGCATCCATATTCCCTTTGAATTTAGCCCAACAAATAATGTGATAGCGTAAGGGATTTAAATTAATTAAGGATATGATTGTAAAAAAATTTCAATAAAAGACATAAATGTTAGGTGGGATAACATTTTAGAAAACGCTCTCTCATTCTCTAAAAACTGCTCTATATACAGGTAATCGAACACTATAATTTAGGAAAATAGTACTAAAAAAAGAGTGATAAAAGGGGATGAGAATTAGAGATAATGAATATCATTTGTCTTCAAAAGTCATAACTTACTCGTATTTTAATTAGAAATTGGGATAACAGTTGCCTTAATAATAAATAACAATTTACGTCTCCAATACGAAGGACAAATATTGTTATTAATTTTGGAAAACCAATGTCCCATATGGGAGATGAGATGATTGATGTTTCCATTAATAATGATAAGTATTATCATAAATTTTGATGACCACGTCCTATATAGGAGATACATCTTACATCATGTATACTAACGACAATTATCATTATCAATTTTGGGGACGATTAGCGTCCTATATGTATATGTATGGGATACAACTTACGTACTGTATATACTAAGGAAAATTATTGTCGTTAATTTTGGAGATGATTGACGTCTCATATAAAGTGGATAATTTTTGTTTCCTATACTAATAATGTATGTCATATATTAAAAAGAGAGAAACTAATTATCAAAGGTGCCGCTCGGTGGAATGGTCCGGAGAGTTGAAATAACTCTTGAATTAAGCGTGGTCGCTTAAAGAAAAATTCTAGGATGGGTGACCTACTGGGAAGTTCTCTATTTCATCTTCCATATAGGGGGACAAATATTGATAATATTTTTAGATACAATTTCCATCTAAAATTGGAGAGATGATGTATGTCTCTTAAATTGGAGATAATTATCGTCCACTGGAAAAAGGACAATTTTTTTGACTTAAAGAGATGATTTTGAACATCCTCTAATATACTTTTATTTATTTATTTATTTTTTTAGTATAGTCAAAACATTAAAAATTATTTTGCTAAATACAACCCAGATATAGCTTTATTTGCTAGTATTAGTTATTTTAATAGTGATTAGTTGTTATAGTAACTGTCAACGATTGAATATTAACTATTAATGTTTAGATTTTTTATATAATAGTCAAAGTAGAAGCATTTATAAAAAATGGGAATAAAATATCATGAAACACTTCCAATATCTTTAAATGCTACTATAAATATATGACGCTACTAGACAATATAATTAAGATAGTGTTTTGACTGGAGTTCAAACATTAACTATTATTTTAAATATGTTGTTCGATAAGCGTTGGATAGCTATTTAGAAGTTAAAGAAGTGTTTAAGGAAATCTTTACTCATAAAATGCATTCGATAATAAATTAATAAACTTTTTAACTGAACAACTATGTTTATTGAGTATTATGTGAACAACTACTCACTGATTGTTACTCTATTCGTCTCAAAATATAATTCATTTAAAGTTTTTTCACGAAAATTAAAAAAGCTATTAATTTCTGTAAATTATTGCAAAATTAAGGTAATTTGATCAAATTACCCTTTATCTTGTATCATTACTCCTATCTCATTATTATATTGTATCTAATATAAATAAGAGAGTAAATAGAAAAAATATCATCTATTATTTCTTAAAATACTGAAAATGAGTTATATTTTGGGACAAAGAAAGTAATATCTAACTATTAATAGTTGTATTATAACCATATATTGCTTAACATGCACAATACTCTACTGAATACTACTTCCTTCGTTCTAATGTCATTTAAGGTATTTGCACGAGAATAAAAAATACAATTAATTTTCCTAGATTAGAACAAAATAAAAGGTAATTTAATTTAATAAAACTACCCTTTATCTCAAAACAAATGGTAATTTGTGGAAATAATTATTTATCTAATATAAATAAAGATAAAATTGAAAAAAAACATTGATTATTTTTTAAAATACTCAAAACAATTTAGATTTATTATTTAATAGCTATCCATGAGCTAACACGATCCGCTAAATAAATAAAGGAAAATAGGATTTTATCTCTATATTTTGACATAATTAATTATTTTGTCCTTATATTTTTAAAATTATTATAATATTTTATTTTTATAGTTTGTCTTCATTAAACGAAATTATCCTTTCGCCCATTATTTGAGATTTAAGTTGTTAACGATCCAAATTACAAAGATAAATTAGTATAATTTTTAAAATTTAAAGACAAAGTAATAAATTATATCAAATAAAGGGACAATAATGCAATTTTTACTCTTTTAGTTTATATGTATATAAGGTTAGTTATGTAATTTCAGAAATACTTGATGACTTAAGTCTCAAATAATAGACGAAAGGATAATTTTATTTAATGAATTTAAATTACAATAAAAAATAATGAATAAAGTAGTTAATTATGTGAAAATATAAAAATAAAAATATAAATTTTCCAATAAATCATTATAGTTTTTTAATAAAATATTAACCCAAAGGGGCAAAGTCTTCTCAGCTAAACGGTGCCTAAAACAAAACAACAACCGGAGAGAGAAAGATTATGTACGAGCGCTAATTAGCGATTGCAATCTGCAGAGACAGAGACACCACTTGACGCCTCTCTCTCCCTCTCTCTACAGCTCAACCCTCACACGCGCCACAAAAACCTCTCGTTTACCTCTGCACTTTAACCAAACACAGTGATTCTCTCTACTCGTTCTCTCTCTTTCTCCATCTCTACTGGCATTGTAAGTATGCGTATTGTTGTGTAATTTGTTCCTTTTGTGAAATTTTGTCACAATTGATGATTTTCCTCTTCTCTAGGAGGAGGAGGAGGAGGTGGTGGTGGTGCTGGTGAAGAAGTATAACGGGAATGGAATCAACGGAGTCGTCTTACGTATCGTCACCTGAGGCGCCGCGAAAGAGATCTCCTCCACCGCCGAAATCGCCCACTTCTGGTTTGTATTCTGATCTGATCTGCTTTCTCTCTCTCAAATTTTATGCATTGACTGATAAAGATAGTTTTTTAGTCGCATTTTTCTACCTATTAGATAGAGCTACTTTGACTGATAGGAAGCGTGGTAGGTTTATTCCAACTGTGTTTTTATTTTTTATTTTTTATTTATTTATTTATTTATTTATTTTGGTTGTTTTGGTGTGAACTGAAACCTAACCCTTGATTTTCTGCCTGTTTGGTGAGACACATGGATGAGAGGATGCAGGGAAGAAGATAGTGATATTAACTATTTTGCTGGTTAGAATTTACATTTAGTTTAAAGGTAATTGTTGATGCAGGAGGATCCAAGTTAAATGAGGAAGTTTTCTATTAGGATTTACCGAATGTTGCTCTAGGTAGACACTTCTAATGCTTGTTTGCACTTTATAAACTGAATGTTGCTCTAGGTAGACACTTCTAATGCTTGTTTGCACTTTATAAACTGAATGTTGCTCTAGGTAGACACTTCTAATGCTTGTTTGCACTTTATAAACTGAATGTTGCTCTAGGTAGACACTTCTAATGCTTGTTTGCACTTTATAAACTGAATGTTGCTCTAGGTAGACACTTCTAATGCTTGTTTGCACTTTATAAACTGAATGTTGCTCTAGGTAGACACTTCTAATGTAAGTCATATGTTAAAGCCTATGATGTTAGGTTTCCTTAATTAAGTTATCATATCCCTAATTCTGCATCAATAAGAGGTTTTTAAAAGAATTTCCCGCTGAAATTCCAAGTCATATTATGCAGGGTGATAGGCATGCTAAAATTTAATTGTTCTGTCTACCTTTTGACTTACATATTCTATTGTTATTTGCATTCAGTGGAATATTATGGTGCTTGTATATTTATGTTCTTCGTTATGCTATATGTGATGTGAAACTGGGGTGCCTTTGACTAGCAGTTTTCATGTCTATTTCTTTGATAAGTTATCTATTGGCCAGCAGAAGAGTTCGCTTCATTGGTTGGCACTCACATATTAACCTTTAAACATCGATTTCGTGACAACTCATGCATGTGAGAAATAAATTGATTCCCAGAAACATCAATGTTTTATGTTTTTAATTCTCTCTCCTAATCTGTGTTCCCTATTACATTTTTTGCTCCCAGAGTCTATCGAGAGGCCAACATACATTAGATTTCTTGTTTCAAATGCTGCAGCTGGTTCTGTGATTGGAAAGGGTGGTGCTACAATCACTGATTTTCAGTCACAATCTGGAGCAAGAATTCAATTGTCACGCAATTATGAATTTTTCCCAGGAACGTCTGATAGAATAATTATGATATCTGGAACCTTGGATGAAGTATTAAAGGCTGTGGAACTTATTCTTGCTAAATTGCTTAATGAGGTAATTATTTTCATGCAGGCTTATTTCATACCAGCTATTTGTTTTCTGATGTTAAGTCATCAATTTTTTTTCATGGTCAGCTTCACACTGAAGACGGTGATGATATTGATCCCAAAACGAAAGTCAGACTAATTGTTCCAAATAGCTCTTGTGGTAGCATAATTGGGAAGGGAGGATCTATTATAAAGTATGGACACTGCTTCTCTCTCTCTCTCTCTCTCTCTCTCTCTCTCTCTTCTCTCTCTCTCTCTCTCTCTCTCTCTCTCTCTCTCTCTCTCTCTCTCTCTGCTGATTCAATATGTTCAATAGTATGCCTTAAAAAGTGAAGGACGAAATATAACTAAATATTTGCCTTGAAATCTCTTCATTTTTATTTGAATCTCTTTGTATTATTTGCCATTCATTATAATCATTGCTATATCCTTTATCTGGAACATAAAATTTGTTCAATTTGGGTTTGATTTCTTTATTGCAGTATCTTATCTTTGTTTGCTGCTGTGATATCCTTTTACTTCAGTGAGAAACTACTGCAGTCTTAATTAAGTTTTGAATTTGAATTTAACTGCAGCATTAAGTGTTTGCATTTAAACTTTCCAAAATCAAGATGCAAGTATTAATTTCAATTTTACATGCATAGGGATCTAGAATTCTCAAGGTAATTTGGAGGTCATTTGGATTGATAGAGTTTGAGTAATGGGATTTAAACATTCTATGGATTTGCCAAATTCCTTTTTTTGGTTGAGAAACAATAGGCAAGAACCCATGGAATTAATAAATTCCGTCATGACTTCAGTACTGCTATTTTGAAAGAGAGAAATCCTGCCTCGGAAGTGGGATTTCTGAATTTTATTATTTCTTTTTTAATTAATGCTGGAATTCAAACCATTTAATACAATAATAACAACACCCAAGTCTTAGTCCCAAATTAGTTGGGGTCAGTTATATGAATCCTTTGTTTCAAATATCCACCTTGATAAGGTTAAAAACAATGCAAAGCAAAATATAGGCCAGAAAAAAATTTTGAAATACTTTTTGTAAAAAAATTTAAAAGGGATTTAAAAATCATTTGATATATTAATAAATAGAAAAAAAACATAAAATAGACAATAACTAAAAAATCATTTGATATATTAATAAATAGAAAAAAAACATAAAATAGACAATAACTAACTAGGGTATGCTACATGTATCTTTCGCCCTCAGTTTATTTTGTTTGTAGCTATATCCTCATTAATATCCAAAGACCATGAATCCTTAGCAACAATTTCCGTCTTAGTAATTCTAGGTCAACCTCTTCTCTTTTTGGCACCCTCCACTAAAGTATTACATTTGCAAACTGGGGCATGTGAGAGTCTATGCAATACATGACCATACCACCTCAGACATCCTTCTCTTATTTAATCTCCAACTTCGCTACTTGTGCCTTTTGTCTAATGTGATCATTTCTAATCTTATTCAACCTTGCATGCCCACACATCCATCTCAGCATTCACATCCCCGCAACATTCATCTTCTGAACTTGTTGTGCATTTAAGTGCCCAACACTCACTGCCATGTAGGATTGTTGGTCTCACCACCGTCCTATAGAACTTACAATTTAAACCATTTAATATTATTCTAAAAATATCCTTCAAATCCATGGATTTTAATTTCCAACCATAGGATCGAATGCAAAATTCCATGGATTTTTAAATCTATGGATTTCACATTCTATAAATCCAAATGACCGCTAGATGTATTTTACCATCTTCAAGAACTTGCTAAGGTGAATCGAGAATTAAACCTAATACCATCTGGTTGCTGATTTGCTTGTGTTTAAATGTCACCAATGTCAATTGTGTGAATGTTTAAATCATGGTTTTGAAAATTGGACCGGATCGGCTGGTCTGACCGGTTTAACCGGAAACCGGACAGTGGTCTGGTCTGATTTGGATAGTCAAAACTCTAGGTTGGAAACTGCTGATAACCGGTGCGAACTTGGTAAAAATCGGTGAACCGGTTTGAGTAATTGCTACGGTTCAATTCAAATCAGCTTAAAAAAAAAAAAAGAAAATTGAAAGGTGGCCGGACCACCTTCGCTTGAGGCTGCTCGCCAAGACGCTTCACCTGGTGTTGGCGGTGAAACCCACCGCCCGGTGGTCGGACTCCAATCGACGATCAAAATTCTGAATTATTTTTGAAATTTGATCTCTCCCTCATGGGCTTTTTGTCACGACCAGTTTCCATGAGCCGGACTGGCACTAGGACTCAGCTAAGCTTAAGACCTCCGAGGTCCGTAGTAAGCCTAAACTATCAACCCATACAAGTTAAGAACCTCGAGGTCGAGTAAGCCTAACCTATCAACCCATACATGCCAAATCAAAAACTATTAGGAAATAGTAAGCCCATTTAATTTGTATATAATATTTAATAATCATACCAATCCTGGCGCCATTTTTTTAAATATCTCGAGTAAAATTGAAGTCTGGGCCCTAATAAATAATATATCTCATTCGTAATATGGGTTAAATTGATTCATATGTATTTTCAAATAAACAATAAGACATTCATATAGGTTAAGCACCCTGCTAAAGACCAGATTAAGATAACACAAATCCTACAACTGCGGAGTTCAACAATAGTTTGGAAGTAATGGGCCTTAATATAATATTAGGAATAGTAAGCCCATTTAAATTTGTATATATATTTAATAATCATACAATCCTGGCCCAATTTTAAATATCTCGAGTAAAATTTAGTCTGGGCCTAATAATAATATATCTCATTCGTAATATGGGTTACTGATTCATATGTATTTAAATAAACAATAAGAACATTCATAGGTTAGCACACCTGCTAAGACCAGATTAAAGATACGCAAATCCTACAACTGCGGAGTTCAACAATAGTTGGAAGTAATGGAGTTATACATATAATAATACACAAATTAACTAATTGCAGAAATTAGGAGCTTACTTTTATACCCCTGCGGAGAAGATTGCAGAGCTTTAGTCTGTCGACGGCTTCTAGTTCCTGACAAGTTAAATAAAAGAAGAGTGAGTTTTGCAACTTAGTGAATAATAATAAATAATGTATATCACAGGCATTAATGTGAAATGCACCATAAGATACTAAAGTGAACATGCAACCAGTTAATCATATGGCACAACATTAGCACTCACAAGTAATTTCACCTTCAAATAATCAAGCAAATAGAAATTAGTCAGTGGCGCCACCAAAAACCCCCGAAGAGCCGTCCTCTCACATGGCCCGTCCTCTCAAACGTGTGCACCAGCGATCCGCTACCCTATACCTGGCCGACCGGTCTAATCCTCACTTGACTAGTCCTCTCCCATATTCACTTTTTATATACTCTCTTTTCCTTTTTCATATCAATAGGCGGCCACCTCGTGGTTTTCCCATATCATATAGCATCGGGTGCACATAGAGGCGCTGATCTCCCCATGCCTGGATGGCGGTATCGCAGACCGTCCTCACAAACCTGTGGTGGCCACTTCATCCCAATTCCACACAAAGCATAGCAAATTCACAGCACAAGTAATCAAGCAATTCATTCAACGTAATGCAACAATCAATCTTAATGCGCAAACGTAGAAGTATAATTATATATTAGTAGTAACATAATATATTTATGAAATACATATAATAATATACTAATAATGTTATAATAATATAATGAATATTAGAGTTTCATTTATATATATATATATATATAAATGTAATGTTTATAAAATAAATGTTATGCAACTGCAATAATGTATGCACTATTTATTATTACTCATAGTTTTAATTTATTAACTTTACTCATAGTGGTAGAGGAAAAGTTTATATATATATATATATATAAATGTAATGTTTATAAAATAAATGTTATGCAACTGCAATAATGTATGCACTATTTATTATTACTCATAGTGGTAGAGGAAAGAAGCTCTAACTCTGATTCTGACTAGAAGGAGCAATAGACGAGTTGGAGCGATCTAAGGAATTTAAGAATACAAAGAAAGAAATGCATCAGACAAAGGACTAAATTTAAATAGAGAATTAAAGAATTAATCTAATAAATTATTTACTAATCTAACTTTCTATAACTAGACTAGATTTTGCCGAAATTTCTGCAGTATCTCCCCTAAAAATTGGACTATCCACATGTTCAAAGAATCACAATTTTATATATATTTATAATTATCAATCATCACATACAGCCCATCCATCAGGCGATCAATATTATATTTAACCCTTAACGTCACCACACATCCATAATCTATAAATTAAAATAACATTCAATCTAGTCTACCTTAAATCCACATTTTCATTCCATTAATATCATTATCGAATTTCCCGAATTGAATTTATTTGGTGCTAAATTAAATTGGCCTTAATTAATTAAAGTCCTCTAATCAAATCAACACTTTTAAATATATTGGATACTACCCATAATTAAATTAAATTAACTAACTAGCTACAAATACTAGACATCAATTAATTTTTCTGAAAATAACTAGAATTAATTTCAATACCCAAGCACAACACTGCTGGAATTTTGCTTGGTCGGAGATAGTGGTGATGCTCGCCGGAACGAGAGGAGAGAAGACAGTTGCTGAGGTGGACCGAAACAGGAGCCGCTGCTCACCTGAGCGGCTTTGCTCACCAGAGTTGCGAGCAGGAGGCGCGACGTCAAGTGGCGGCTGGTGGTGCTCCTGCTTGCCCAAATGGAAACAGGGGGAGGCAGAGGCGGCGCGATCGAGCTGAGGGAGAGGAAATGACCGGCAGCGCGACTGCAGGGGCGATGGTGGCGGCACGGGTGGCGCAACGAAGGCTCGTTGAGCTTGTTTCTGGTGGCCGGAGTCGCGACTGCTTCAATCTGGGTGAGGTCGCGGCTCCACTGTGGCCCTTGCACTTGGCAGAACGGAAACAAGAAGAGAGGGAAAGGGAGAACCAGAGCGGCGCAGGGTGAGGGAGGCGACGGCAGCAAAGGAGAGGCGGCGCAGGCGAGTCGCCGGTGACCAGAAAAAAAAAAACGAGAGGGAGCAAGGGAGAAGCGGGTTCACGCTGAAAATAGGGGGGAGAGGGGTTTCTAGAAGGTTTTCGGGTGGGTTTGGGGCTGGTATGGTTCGATTTGGGTTCGGTTCGGTTCAAATCATGATTTTTATGTGGTTTTTGATTTTTCAATCAGTTTTTGTTTGGGTTTTCAACTATATAAATTATATTTTCATTTAACTGATTAAATAAATTCATAGGGTGCTAATTATTAAAAAAAAATTTAAATGAAAAATTTTGAAATTAAAAAATTCGGGTTGCTTCACTTTTCCTCTTTCTTTAATTGTGATGGATTTGCATTAATGGAGATGAGTTATTATTGGCTTATTCCTCTTTAACTAAGTGATTCCTTACTATAAATAATTACACACTATTTTTTAAGGTGAAAAAATATGCATATTTTATTTCTTTATTTATCAACATCTCCCATTATAACTATCTATATTTTATTATATTATTGTTTTATTGTATTTATTAGTTTTTAATTAGCAATAATAATAATAATAATTCATTTCCTATAATAACTTGTTTGAATTCCATGGAAACCATACATTGAACCATATATCCTTTGTTTTTAATTTGTATTGTTATTTTATTTTATTATTATATTTTCCAAAGTAAATTTAATTTTTTTTGCTTATTATTATAATTAGTTAAATTTTTTTATTAAATTGGGCTTATATTTATATATGTTGAGCTTATATAAGTTAAAGGACGTATTATATATAATTTTTTTTTTTGTAGAAATTATTTCGTACTTAAAAATCATGTATTTTTAATTATATAAAAAATATATTTAGAAATATTATATATAAAAATCTGATTGAATCGTATTGAACTCGGTTGAACCCTCCAGTTCAGTGAACCCCTGCCTCCACCGGTTCAATGACTGGTTCGGTCTCTGAACATTGGTTTAAACTGACGCAAGTAAGCAACACTGATTGCGAATGAAACATGGCATAAGTTGGCAATGCAATGCTTCTGGTTTTTGAGGACTCTTGACTAGAGGAGTGCATATTGAACAGAAATATTTTAATGCTGCTGTGATAACCTGTGGGCTGTGCCTTCTGTCAGGAGGCCTCTTCTCACCCTCTTCTCTTGTCCCCATGTAAAACTTCTCTCGGTATAGTTGAGCTTTTCTAGTGAGTCTTGCATGAATTACAGTTATACTTAATGAGCGAGGCAAAGGATTTATATTATGTGTGAATAGCAGTGCAATTTTTCAGGTTGAAAGTCATAATTCAAGGATGCTAAGTAATATTTTTCTTTAAGATACTGCTTTGCTTGCTTTCCCTTTAATATTCATTAGAAGATGTGACCTTATGTGTTATGTTTTTTTAAATAGATTGATATTATGACAACATGGAGTTCTGTCTCACATTAGGACTTGGGTACTACTAAAATGTGTTGATGTTGATAAAACATAAAAAACTCTATAGAAAAAATTCCTCCAATCAAGTCAGATAACAATTCAAAGAGGCGCCTCAAATCCCCTTCAAAATATAATAAATATAAACTTGATTTCAGGGGCCCTCCAATCAAGAGGCCCCTCAAATCAAGTTTATAGGGGGCTAATATTTATTCTATTTTGTTTTCATGAAGATATTTTATCTACGTTTCTATAGAGTTTTCTGACAGACCTTTGCCTACTTTTCATTTCACCAAATTTACTGTTAGGGGAGATCAGGTTTGTATGCTACATGCATGATCTTTTGTCACCTTTTCTTTTTCTTTATTCATAAATTTTTGTTACAAGACTTGGATCATTTTTCTAAACATCCAATCCCCTATCCCATAGCCATTGGGCATTCTATATATCTATTTATGAATGATTCTCCATCATCTGTATATCTTGTGATATTTTCGAGTAAGTTTCAGAAGTTTGTTCTATTCTCTACTCTTTCTCTCTCTCACTCTGTTCACTCCCCACCATCCTCTTTCCCTTCTATTCTCTGATTAGAATGTTCTACTAGGCTGTTATGGTATTTCATTCACTCCTCCCCTTCCCCCTTTCCAGTTTCTCTTCTTAAACTACATATCATGGTGGCATTATTTTGCAAGGTGTGATAATAATTCTTTTTCAATAATGTTTCTCGCAAGATCAACTACAAGTTTGCTGGATTATGTGCTAGTTGCAGCAAAGGTAGAAAGAGACAAAAGCTGATATCTAGATTTACCTTTCTGCAGGTCATTTATTGAAGAGTCCCAAGCTGGCATTAAGATATCTCCTCAGGATAATAATTTTTATGGGTTGAATGATAGGCTGGTGACACTGAATGGAACATTAGAAGAGCAGATGCGGGCTATTGATCTCATTTTGTCTAAATTAGTTGAAGATCCTCATTACTCGCAGACTATGCATGCCCCATTTTCGTATGCAGGTTTGTTCTCTAAACTAAAAGTAAAGACTTTAGAATCTTTAATTCAGTTGACAGGAGCTTAAATTCAGGCCAGTTGCACTTGACCAATCTTTGTTTCTCTTTCCTTTAAAATAAATAAGTGCTATTTTTTATTTGGCCTTCAATTTTGTTTTTATTTTTCTTTGTTGTCTTCTCCTTTGGTTTATATCTTTTTTCCATTGGTTGAGCACTGTTAATACACAAACTGCTATCGTTGCATTTTTTGATTTGGATGAAGATTGAAGAGCAAATGGTGGCTAACATTCTAACAAAAAGTAGGTTTAGATACCTAAGTGATAAAAGTAAAAGCACCAGAAAAACTTAAAAAAAAAAGTGAAAATTCTGGATTTTCCTTTGGTCATGAGTTTTAGAAAAATGTTTTAAATTAATATGTACAACAATTTTCGATAATTTGACAAGAAACATCTAGATTATGTAATTCAAAGTAATCTCTCTTTCCACTACTTATTGAAACTTCATAGTTTTTCTCTTAATTTCTTTTGAATGCTGTTTTTTCAGCTCTTTCTAATACTAATTCAATTTCTATTCCCAGTCCATTGTTTCTTGAGATTTTAATCAATAGTAAGCATTCTACACTGTTTAGAGACTCAGATGAGATCAAATAATGGCTCACAGGTCTCTTGATTGAAAGAGCAAAATAGTTGACAGTATTTGTGTGGGCTTTTGCTGGAAGAAGCTTGATTAATGGCTTGACTCTCATTGACAGGACTGTGGGTCGTAAATTATGTGACAATTATTCTTTTCAGATAAAAGAAGATTACGAGGCATTTATGTTAATGGAAGGATGTACTAATTAGAAAGGGAGAATAAGATGGAGTTGGAAATTGGATGATATATATTATGATGAAATGGGGTGACGATACAACTTTGCTTATGTTGAAGTTCACTTTGTTGGTATGCGGAGTGTGTTTGCTATGTAGATGAATTATGTCAGTAAATGCAACAATTAATACTGCTCCCATAGAACTAGAATGAAGGTTTAGAGGCTTCTTTGGCTTAAAGAAGCATTTTTGTAAGTGGTGGGTGAAAGAGTGCGGGATGAGAATCTTTAGCTTTTTAGATCAGAAGAAAGATTCTAATGTTAAGTTTCTTTACCTCTATACTCCTGTTACACTCCAGTCCTAGCCTAGTACAATTGCTGATCATGTTGTAGTCTGTTACTTTGTTATGCATCATGCACCTGTCCCTTTCCTGTAAAAATATAAAAGAAAATTGGTGAATTAATTATGATCTTATATATTTGCATTAGGGGTGAGCACTCAGCCAATTCGAGCAGCATTTTTAACCGAACTGAATTAATCGATTTTTTTTTACTTAACCGAATTTAAGTAAAATAATCATTTAACTGAATTTCACTGAACCATCTTGGCAGAATTAATTTGGGTTATTAACTAGGCCGAAGTTAAAGAAAATAAAAGCCTATTTAACCGACCAACTGCAACCGAAATTACCGATTAACCAAATTTAACTGAGATTTATTAACCTTAACTTATTTAAACTACATATTTATTAAGACTGAAATCTTTTTAATTTTTATTATTTGCTTAATCAAATAAACGTAGTTTTTGGTGTCGATTAATTTGATTTGATTAACTTCTAAATGAACCTTAACCGATTATTGAAAACCAATTTTCCATAATCGAACCATTAACTGAATATTTTATTCACCAAATTGAATTGGCCGAATTAATTGATTTCACTGAATTAATCGAACTGAATGCTTACCCCTATTTGCGTTATACCTTGTAGCAATATCATGTTTTCTTTAACAATGTTTAACGCAGATTAAATGCCTTAGAAGTCCATTAACTAGCTATTATTTTTCAAATTACCTCTTTAGATTTCTTTCCTTTCTCACCAACGCATTGAAGATTGAACTTTTAAAAACACTTCATAGTCCAAAAAATTACGGGCATGTGTATGTGACTCCAATAGCAAACTACAAATCGCATGTATGTGTTGTGTTTGGACTTTATATAGCATCTTTAAATTTTGAGAAGTTTTATTGCAAGTTGGAGGACTCCTGGAAGTTGAATTAGGAGTTCTGTGAAATTTAACTATTTTCAGCTACCTTCTTTTAAATTCTATGCAATAATATTTGAACATATGGTGTGTTTTCCTTTTGGTTGCTGATGATGTGTTTTATCTTAAATTTAACTTGAACTTTTATGCATTTTCTTCTCTGGTTTTTCATGGCATAACATATGTACAAGTGCTTCCTTCTTTTGCAACAGTAGCATACAATTCGATGAACTATGGACCAAATGGAGCTGGACCTGGAGGAAAGTTTCAGAATAGCAAGGTTCATTCCATTTCACAATGTTTTGATCTTAATTGCATGCCTAGTGTTACATTCTGTGTCTGTAACATACTGGATAAGGATGCTCCCAATGAGCACCCAATTGCACTTACCAAGTTGTAGATTACAACGAAGTGTGAGCAAATATGCTGAATGCCTAGTTGATCTTCCTGTGTTATAAGTTTATAACTTATCGATGATGCGAATTGGACAATTTTAGTTCAATGGATTTCCTTCCCTATTTTCCTTTAGATTGTCCACAATATTTGAGCGGTACTGCTGAGAATTGGCTCCCAAAAATTTAAAATATTAAATTGAAGAATTATGTTGTGCAACTTCGGACTGCCAATAAACAGTGACCACCTAATTTAATGCTTTCTCTGTATTTTCTATAATGCATTTGAATGGTGATGCACACTATCACTTGCATTTTCGCTCATGCAATTTAAAGTGATGCGATAATTTGATCAAAATTAAAATTTGATATTGCGGTGCTTGAGCCTATGATTGAACAGAAACTAATTTTCTTATTTTGAAGGTGCTAGCATTATTTCTAGCTGATGTGCTCCTCATTTGGAATATCTTCTTCCATCCATGTCTTAATAGCTAATTAAACATTTTCATAACAGTGATTGTGAATCACAAAGTATAATTCACTGAAGGTCATAAAACATATGTGATTGTTATTGTGATTAATGCGCCTTCTTATGTTCTCCAGGAGGATAGAACCAACTCGGTGACAATTGGCATTGCAGATGAGCATATTGGATTGGTTGTTGGTCGGGGTGGAAGGAATATAATGGAAATCAGCCAGGTTTTTATACATTAAGCATTCCATATTGTTATGCAATATTTTTAATATGCACTAAAGCACTTTGTGTTGGCAGGTTAGCGGGGCCAGGATAAAAATATCGGATAGAGGAGATTTCATGTCTGGAACTAATGATAGGTATAATAATAATACACTTTGATCTGATCTTTCTACTGCCTATTGCATTCTGATTTCCGAAGAGACATGATTTTAACTCTGTTCTGTTGCATGCTATTTGGCAGGAAAATCACGATCACTGGGTCACAGAGAGCGATCCGGGCAGCCGAGGGCATGATAAGGCAAAAGGTGGCCTATGCTTCTGAGAGGGGAGGAGATTAGGTTCCAAGTCTGAATTATTTTGTTTTTAGTTTCTGGTTGTGCGCCTTTCAAGTGATAGTTTCCTTACAAATTTGGTAATTTAAAAATTTGTCCACATACGTCTCAGAGAGAGTTGGTTAGCAATTTCGAAAACTATGATTAGAATGGATAAATTTTTCATAGAAAGAGATAGCGAGAAAGAAACACAGAGCTTTCTATAGGAAATTATTCAAGAGTATAAATTGGTGTTTCCAGGGAAGGAAAGATTGGATTAGGCCCTTATTAGGTTGACTGAGTGTTCAAAAAATTTCATTTATCTCTTGATACAGGTGTAATTTCCAATTTAGCGAGTTTTTGCAACTGATTTTTGTTTTCAGAATGTTATGTTCTATAGAGAAGAATGGGTTATGCTGTAGGATTTTTTTATTTCTTTCGCTTTGGTTTTCTGGGCGCTTATATTTGCTGTGACAATGGGCACTTTTGCTCGTTTAAGTTTATGACCTTATTAGATATTTATCTAGTTTCAACGAAAATAACTCGGATTGGTTTTTACTTTAAAATGGTAAATATTTTGCTGTGACAATGGCCTTTTTGCCTCGTTTAAGTTTTATGACCCTTATTAGATATTTAATCTAAGTTCAACGAAAAATACTCGGATTGGTTTTTTAATACTTTTGTATATATATATATATATATATATATACATAATATATATATTATTATATATATATATATATATATATATTATTAAGTATTAAGGGAGAAGAGGGTTTGAGAATCTATTTGTCATCGCACTAATTATTAGGCTATGTCCTTGGTGTGCATATATTTAGTATTGGGAGAAGAGGGTTCGAATCTGAATCTATTGTCAGGTCGCACTAATTATTAGGCTATGTCTTGGTGTGCAAAATAATAAATAATTTGGATGTCTTATTTGAATAACCGGTCTCAGCGATAGTTGCTCCCTTTCACATTGGATTTTGATTTGCGTTTTATAAAATCTAGTCAACAAATAAATCTGTTTCGAACAATTTTAATTAATTAATTAATTTTGATTTTTAGTAATTAGTAACTTTGAAGTTTTATTTGATGGTCAATTTTGCAATTCTTGGTTTGCAATAGGCTCTTCTCTTTGAAAATTGATTTTTGGTTCAATCTCTGTTAAAGCTTTCTTCAACTCCCAACATAAAAGCAGTGATCTATTCCTATATTCTTTCGAATCTTCTCCAGTCCTTACAGATTATACCTTAGCTCTTTTCTAATGTCCACGAAAGCAGACAACTATTTCAACTGATTGGGAATAGAATTGGTAGTCATTTACAATTTTAAACTTTTTAGTTTTAGTTTTCTTCTATAATTCCAAATTTTATTTCTAGAATATCAACATTTTTTTAAGTTTTCTTCTGTAATTATTTTCTACAACAATATGTATAAGAGAAAAGAACATGATACCCATGTAATTTATGGATGCCTATGATAAAAGAACATACCGATTTGTAAACTAACTCTCGACTGGAAATTAATATCGTGAGCTAACTCTTGAATTTGACGAAGATTAATATGTGCAGTAATTGTAATTATAAATAGTATTTCAGGATTCCTTGTTTTATCTATCTTTAATTTTTTTATTTTAAGTATAAATGCATGATATATTTATTTAAAAAATTTATAAAGATTGTGTTCGACAATAACTTTTTAAGTAGTTTTTAGCATTTTGATTGCTATTTTTTATAGTGTTCGGTAACATAACTTTTGAACTAACTTTTAGAGGTTAAAATAGCGTTTTATCAAAAGTTAAGTTCTGTGATGTTTCCCTTTTAGCATTTTATAAGAAACTACTCAAACAACTGCTAGTACTCTAACTGTTAAATAGAGGTGAGCATTCCTCAATTTGAGTAATATTTTTAACCAAAATTCTTAGACTTAACTGAATTTAATCAAACTTCACCAAATTGTTTTGACCAAATTAATCTTGATAATTAACCAAATAGAAATTAAAGAAAATGAAAACTTAATAACTGATTGAATTTTACCGAAATTTTTGATAAATCAATTTAACCAAAATAAAAATTAATCAAAGTTATTAATCACTACTTAATTAAAATAAAAACTGAAATATTTTTAATTTTTAATTTTATTATCTACTTGATCAAATGAAAGTTGGTTGATTTGATTAATCAGGTTAAAGTTAGTTGATTTGATTAATCAGGTTAAATTAACGTTTAACCGAATCTTTAACTTATTACTGAAAATTTAATTTTTTAACTGAATTTTTAATCAAATATCTATTCATCGAACTGAATTAAATGAATTAACTGAATTAATAGAATCGATCAAATTGGTTGAATCGAGACCCTACTACCAAAATGTATAATTTTGTGGAGCAAAACTAAATGTCTGCCACGGGAGAAAGGCAAAGAGAAAGAGGCATTGCGAGGAAGTCGCTAGAAAAAAGAGATACTTTGTGTCTTGTAGCGAAGAGAAATGCTCACTATAATGCAAAGAAACACTTGCTTTTGGTACCAGTTATAGGATTGAACTGAAAAATAATGTTCGACTAATCTATTCTTGTGAGTGATCACTAAAGATTTGTTAAATAAAAAGTACGTAAAAGATAAAATTTTATTAATCATATAAAATGTGAAACATGAAACTAGTGAATAAATTTAGGTATTAGGTACATTATTCCATAGCCGTACATGCATAAATGCACCATCACTATCACCGCCGCAGGCGGTGGAGAGCAGCTGCAAATTTATTCTCGCATATGGCCAATGCCAAGACTCATCTATCTATAAATTACTACCTAATCTTGTTCTTGCTTAAGGGTAATCACCATACCCTCCTCCTCCATATCCAGACCCAGAACCATAACCCGACCCACTGCCATACCCAGACCCATTTCCACCCCCAATGCCACCACCTCCTCCACCGCCGCCGCCCCTGCCACCTCCACCTCCTCCTCCTCCTCTTCCTCCTCCACTTCCATATCCGCTTCCACTCCCATATCCGGAGCCGTAACCAGATCCACTTCCATGTCCTAAGCCTCCACCTCCACCACCACCACCACCTCTGCCACCACCTCCACCTCCACCACCTCCTTTCCCACTTCCAGACCCATAACCGGAGCCACTGCCAGACCCAAAGCCTGAACCATATCCACTACCAGAACCAGACGCACCACCACTGCCACCACCGCCACCACCTCCACCACCTCCGCCGCCACCGTAACCTTCTATACCACCATAACCTTCACCTCCTCCAGAACCATAACCTTCACCTCCTCCAGATCCATAACCTTCACCATAACCAGAACCAAGTCCGCCTGAACCACCACCTCCGCCTCCACCTCCACCTCCACCTCCACCTCCACCTCCACCTCCTCTACCAATGAATACCTTTAAAGACCTAGCAGCAAAGCAAACGTCTACAAGAAGCAAGACCAATAATGTAGCACCTAACAATCTTGAGCTTGCCATAATTTAGAAATTTCAAGAACTGTCTTTATGTAATTGTGTGTGCTGGTGTACGTGCGTATATGTATCTATATTTTATATATATTCATATATGTATATGTCACTCAGCTTGAGAAGAAGCTTTGGTGAGCAGAAATGAAGAAGGTGGTAACCCTATTTATAGGAAGTGAAAAGGTGACTTGTTCTTTAAAAGTTTCTTAAAATTCTAATAGTTTCTTTTTCTTTAATTAATATTTATTTTTTAAACACATTTTCCAATTAATTTATACGTCAATGAAATATATATTAAAAATATAATAAACAATATAAGAATTGGTAAGTGATTATATTAAACCTAATACATATTTAAATTTATAAATTTTAATATATATCAAAATTTTTTTTAAAGTATTAGAAGGAAGATTTGAATATGTATTTATTGTCGAATTATGTCTTAGTATGCATATCACAAGTTTTTATATGTCAACTAGCTTATCTTAAAATTTTTATGAAATATATTTATAAATTTTAATATATAAATAATATTCTCGAGTCAATTTATATGATTTAATGTATAGTTGATATTCTTAAGTAAATTTTTTTGGTTCGTATAAAAAGAGAGCAAAATTCAAAAAGGTAAACTAAAAACAAAATCTGAAGTATAAAATTCCAATAATACCATATAATAAAAAAAGCTAAAAAGGAAGTCACTAGAAGCTGAGCGAGCAGGTAGAGAAGAGAAGCAGTAGGAGCAAGTGATACGATAAAAAGAGAAGACAATGGCTTGTGCGTTTTGGTATTTTGGTGTTAGTGGTGTAGGTGGTGGTGCTCGACATTCTGCTTACTCATATCTTATTGTACTTAGTATCTCTACTTTTTGACTTTAGAAATACATATGTATACATTGCAGCCACTTTGAGTCATCCCGTTCATATTACAACTCATATATACCACTTTCAATATAGTGTGATTGATCTTTTCAGATATTAAATATAGTGTGTTCGATATTTTTATGATGTGTAAAATAATAAATTTCATATTCGAGTCCGCTGGAATTTAAGGTTCTAGGAGAATATTGCTTGCTATTTCGACGTAAAGCTTCCCCTCTAAGATACCTGTATATATATTAGATTATGGATTATCGATTTCCACAATAAATTCTTTTTCTTTTGATTATTACTAGGTTGAAATACAAATTCTTGGCAACTGAAGAGCAGAAAGAGAGAATTCGATCCCATCCCACAAGTGTTTGTTTTCCTTGCACGACGTATATGATCTTGTATTTGTACTTTTCATTTCCCATTTTGAATAACACTTGTTATCATATGGAATATCACCAAATTAAAGTTTTAAATTATTTGATTTGTGTGGTCTTCTATGATGGATTAATTAATTTAATGTGGGATTATCTTTACCAAAATCACAAGTGGAATACATTGTTGAAGTAATTAATAATAGACTTAAAATTCATAGGATGGACGATCTTATTCGAAAGTTTCAATTCCATGCATGTGTTGCACAAATTTCAGTTACATGTATCCATCGATTGATTAGGATCGTTTTATTTTTCATAATGGAAACCATTTGCATAACCTTCATTTGGTCCTTTCATTTGTAACTAAAAAGTTATAATTATTGCATATTTACATATATCATTAATTGATAATATTTTCCTGTCATGTTAACAAAATGTTGCAGAGGAAAAATGGGAATCATGACATGTGTCAGATTACGAAGTTCAAAATTCATAGGATGAACTTGATGGAAACTTCCAGATCCATGTATTGCACAAATTGAATATCCGTTCCATTCCAACCATGTGTTTGATTATGAGATCACTTTATTTTTCTTTATGGAAACCATACATAAAAACTTTCATTTGTCGTTAAAAAATTTTGATTATTGCATAGTTATATGTAGCAATTGAAAATATTTTCACAAAAGGGTCACTTGTGAGTGATCACTTTGTTGGAATAAAAAGCAAAAGATAAAAACTTTATTCATCACATAAAATAAGAAACATGACAATTAGGTACATTATACTATTGCAACATGCACAAATGCACCACCACCATCACCGCCGCAGGCGGTTCAGACCAGCTGCAAATTTATTCTAACATAACAATGCCAAGACTCATCTATAAATTGCTACCTAAAGCGCAAAGACATACTACGCACTTTCTTGGTATTGCTTAATGGTAACCACCATACTCTCCTCCTCCTCCTCCATATCCAGCTCCTGCCCCATAACCCGATCCGCTGCCATGCCCAGATCCATTTCCACCGCCAATGCCTCCACCTCCTCCACCACCACCGCCACTGCCACCACCTCCTCCTCCTCCATTTCCTCCTCCACTCCCATATCCAGATCCGCCTCCACTACCATATCCGGACCCATATCCTGACCCACTTCCATTTCCTCCTCCTCCACCACCACCACCACCTTTCCCACCACCTCCACCTCCACCTCCTCCTTTCCCAACACCAGACCCATAACCGGAGCCACCGCCAGACCCATAACCTTCACCATACCCTCCACCGGAACCAGACGCACCACCACCACCACCACTACCTCCACCACCACCTCCGCCACCACCTGCACCTTTACCATACCCTTCTACACCACCATATCCTTCACCACCTCCAGACCCGTAACCTTCACCATAACCAGAACCAGACCCAAGTCCTCCTGAACCACCACCACCTCCGCCTCCTTCTCCTCCACCTCCGCCTCCACCTCCTCCGGTTCCAATATAAGGCCTACCAGCAAAGCAAAGGTCTACAAGAAACAAGACCAAGAATACAGAACCTAACAATCTTGGGCTTGCCATTATTTCCAAATTCCTGCAAGATTTTTCTTCGTGTGTGTGTTAGTGTATGTATATGTATTATGTATAACAATCTTTGGTGAGTGGAAATGCTTAAGGTGGTAACCCTATTTATAGGACCTGTAAAGGTGGCTACTTCTTTAAAAGTTTTTCAAAATTCTCCTAGCTTTTCTTTATTAGTATTTATTTTTTCTATAGAAATATTAACTTACCAATTTATAAATCAATGAATTATTTATTAAAGTATAAAAAAATATTTTTTATAAGCAATATTAATTTATTTTATTATTTAAATCTAGAAAAAACTTAACTTATTAAAATATAAAAAAATATTAGTAGGTGGGGTGATAATTAAAACTTATATACATGTGTTACGAGATTATAAATTTTAATATTAGTATCAACTTTATATTTCAACTGAGTTGGATCCTAGAATTTATGTTTTAACTCTCATAATTGTTTGTACTTTGTACTAATGATATCATTCATTTAAATCAAGGCTGATGAAATGTATCAGTGATATAAGTGAGTGAATATTGAATAATATTATCTCTTTTTACAAGAATTAAGAAAATAATTAAATCTTTTTAATTCTAGAAAAAATAAAAACAATTGACTAAACTATTATATTACTTCTTTATAAATAAATGAGAGAAAGTTTGATGGAGATATCTAAATAAGGGTAAAATTAGATAAAATAATTAATAACACTTTAATTTTCTGAAGATATCATTTAAGTAAAATAAGGAAAAAAAAGTAAAAAAAAATATCAAAGACGACACAGGAAGCAGTTCAATTCAATCAATTATTGAGTGAATTAGTAATATAAATGCATCGATTATATGCAAAATAAATTGCATAATTATTTTTATTCATTTATAAGTCATTTGTATATGAATTTCACATTTTCTTTGAAAAGAGAAGGAAAGAGGAAAGAAAATGAGGAAAAAATAAAAAAAAAATTTGAAAAAAAAGGAAGTTAAGTTCCTTCTTTGTATTTAAATCTTTTGTTTTTCTCTCTACAAGGAAAATAACCATTGCTTATTAATTTTTTTGATTAAATGACCTATAAACCAAACCAAATATTAGGTCAAACAGGGTGTTGATAAGCTTTATCATTTTTTCAGTCATATTTTATATTGATTCAGACATTATCTTAATGTACATATAAGTGATATTGTCGATCAAAAATTTGTTTGCATGTATACTAGTAATTGATAGCGTGTGTTTTGGTATTTTAGGTGGTGGGGATAGGGTAGGGGGCGGCAGCCGAGCTGTCGGTGGTGGTCGACACTCGTTTTCTTGTGTCTCACTGCACATTCTGCATCAGAAATGTAATCTTAACATCCCTACTTTTTGACCTGAGAGAGAGAGAGAGAGAGAGAGAGAGAGAGAGATGTGTCTGGTAATGATATATGATTAGTGGCATATCTGTTGCATGCCCACTTTGTCTCAATCTGTTCATATTACAAATTCGGACCACTTTCTCATGTTTTCATTTTTTCAGGAAAAAAATTGAAAATAATAATAATAATTTAATTTGTGTTCAATATTTTTTAACATAATGTGTTATTAATAACAATTTAAACAATATTATGAAGTTAGAATTCATGTATAGCTTTGATACTTTGAAAGTTAACATAAAACAGAACCAGAAATTGCATATAGACATTTTCGTTTGTTTATGTGTCTTACATGCATCTTATTCTTCCTTTCCTTTTTTTTTTTTCTTTTTTTCCGTTTAAGTTAAAATAATTATTCTTGCAAAATTAGAGCCTATTTGATGATACCTTCGTAGTATTTAGTGTTTTGATTAAGTTAAAATATAAAATTTTTTTATTAATAATATTCGATAAACAGTTATACTAGTGTTTAGAGTTGGAGAGCGCATATCATATGAAACATTATTTCCTTTAACGTTTCACGAAACGCTAGTTAAACAGCTGGTATAGCTACTGGAACAACTTCCAACTTCTAAAACAACTAATTTGGTAGTTATTAGTTGTTTTAGTAGCATTTAACTGTTAGCTGTTTGAGTAGTTTTTTGTGAAATACTAAAAACTAAACGTTACATGAGTTAACTTTTTACAAAACGATGCTCTAACCTTGAAAAGCTAGTTCAAATGTTATTTTACCAAACAACTTTTTAAGCAGCGTTTAACGTTTCGACTAAAAGTTATTTTAAAAAACTGTTACCGAACACCGTCTAAGCATACGTATATATAGAAAAATTAAGAGAATTTTGAATACCATCACACTTATAATTATCCTTTGCGAGGATAAGTGTATCTTGATTTCTTTTTGTTTTTAGAATAAATTATTCTTGTCTTGATAATGATATTCATATGTTCCTGTCAAATTGACCTAAAACACATTACATTTGGATTCCTATATTAGATTTTGGATAATGGACCTAGCAAACTAGAAGTTGATATTAAAGAGGCAAAATATAATCTGAAAGAACAAATTAAAATGGATATTTTAACTTTATTTTTTTTCATAAAAATTTAGGGAACAATGACCAATTTTGCGTCTGGCTCCATAGTTGCAATGGCTGAGGTGTTGAGTTGGTTGAAAGTTCACTTTGCAGTCTATGCAAGGTTCTGAAAAGGATTACTCTTATTATAATAGTTCTATTATTAGCGACTGTAAAGCTCTTTTAAAAGAGCTATATTTGATGTCAATATTAATTTTGCGAAGAAATCAACAAATCAGTCGGCTCAAGCATTAGTTTGAGCTGCTGTTTCTATGCCTGATGTGATTAAGTGGGTCTTAATTCATGATTTTCTCTTAAAAAAATATGTTAATCCTTTCTTCCTAATTGCTTGGTTATACAATAAATAAATAATTTTTACTTTTCATTTTCCACGTTGAAGAACAAATAGTGTTATCTTATGGAGTGTTACCAAATTCTATATATGATGTAATTTTATCCTTTTCATCATCACAAGTGGAATATTGCAGTTACATGTGTTGCACAAATTGAAATTCAGTTCCATGTGTTGATTCAGTAGGATCACTTTATTTTTCTTAATGGAAACCATATATAACCTTTCATTTGTAGTTTAAAAAAAAGTATAATTATTGCATAGTTGTAGGTATCAAGTAATTGATACATTTTAATTAGCAATTCAATAAAAATCATAATTGGATTAATGAAAATTAGATAAGTTGCAATTCCTTTCGTGGAATAATAATTAAATAAAGGACTTAGTTTTTTTAAATTATGAAACAAATATCAGAAAAGTGAATATTTTATCTCCATCGAATTCCCTAATGTAACCACCAACAGCTTACTAGTTATACATTGTAAAAGAAACAAATAGATCTATAGGTTGTGGCTCAGTTGGCAATACAAACTAAATATATGGGAAAAACTTCCAGATTTGATTTCCACCAAATACATTTATAGAAAAGAGCAAAACTAATCTCCGAGCCAAAAGAAACTTTCTCACGATGAATCACTATGATAATCCCCGTATCTTGTTGAATCTTTCAAATCCATCAAATATAATTAATTAATCAATTTATCCACTAAGGCATTACTAATTAAAAAGTTTATTAGTACACTAAACACATGTAACTCATAGTTTCAAAGAAATAACTTTTTGTGCAAGTATAATTTTTGAGAAGTCAACTTCCTAAAAAATAGGTCATCTTTGTCCTTCTAGAGTTTTCTCTTGAAAAAAAAAAAAAGACACTACCAATTATACCAATAGTATTAAACTTTGGTGCCACAAATTGCTCAATTGATAAGAGCATGCATGCACTATCCCAACCACAACAATTGATCATTTCTTAGCATTCTTCATATGTTTTCAATATCCATCCATTAAAATATACTCATATTTTAATGAAGAGGGTAGGAAAGTTCTTCTCATAAGCCTACACGTGTACACTTTCTAGGGAAAGAGATTTGAGAAATCCAAGGCCACAAATACCCACTAAACTCAACAACCCAAAATTCTAAGTTGTGGTCACATCTTGGAATGGAATGTTAGTGGGGTCTTTGATTCTCTTTGTCTTGGTATTTCTCTTTGTCTTTGTCTTCTTCCTGTTGAAATGTAAGCTTAGAATGACATCTGTCATCTTTACTTTGCATTTTGCAGATAGCAAGCGCATGCTTGCTTTCAATTACGGCAATGCAAGTCATTATAGCCTTTGTTCATAATAGCATCGGTTATTGTCACTTGCTGACTTTTGTGTTTGAATGTGTCACAGCTTTAAAGCATTTCAGTTTGTAGTATTTGTTTTCTATTAGGACATTTTTACATCCATTTTAAGAATGTTTTTAGGGTTAGAAAGTTCTAATTCAAATTTCAACAACTTTTAATTACTAAAAACGCTAATAGTTGGTAATATAACGCTTGAACTAATTTTTAGAAATTAAGATATTATTTTAGAAAAGATTAATCTTTATAACGTTTAGCTTTTATCGTTTTATAAAAAAACTAGTCAAACAGTTACTAGCTATTAAAACAACTAATAATTGCTAAAATAATTAATTTTACCCAACAGACCTAAATTTGATAAAACAATTTTTTATTAACTACTACTATTGTTATTATTACTCATAAATATAAAGTTAATTTGAATTTATCTAAAATAAATTCCATATATATATTTCTCTATGTATATATTGTAAATAATTTTTAAATGAAAAGAATTATTAAAGGAGGGTTAATTTCTAGATTATTTTTTTTAGAATTGAAAAAAGAGGAAACAAATTTGAGTAAACTAGAGTTCTTATACAAATCATTTATGCACTAAGGATCAAACTAATAAATATTGTGAGTTACATATTTTTATGTATTTGATCTATGTATTATTAGAATTTTTTGTTGTTACTAATTTTTCGACTTGATTGATATTTGAAATTTATTATATTGGAAACAATTTTAATATTTTTAATTCATTTTGAGTATTTAAAGTCAGTTTACACGGTAAATTATCTATTTTAAATAAGTGTAAGGATGAACCGTTATATTCAGTTTGTGTATTTAGAAATTACCTGATGCTGGCTTTAAAAATTACAAATTGATCAATAAAATGAAAAATGAAATTATTTGCCAATTAAAGCAATACTTAGGATCAAGGACTT